ATCTTTAATTTATATACAAATTTTTTAAATAGTATACATTTTGAATAAATAGAGTAACCACAAAACTTTCAATCACCTATCCTTCTAAATACTTCCAACTATAATCACAAAAAGCAACAACCAACAGTCAAACAAAACAACATATACATATAATGTTTTTTTAAAAAAAATCACGTACTTCAAATATAGACATAATATTAAGATACAATGTGTTACCACTTGTCACACATCCCACCTTAACTCCTCCTACATCTAAATTAATAAGATTTGACTTTTCCCGTCCCTTTTTATTGTTTATTTTTTACGAGCCTTCACATCCAAAGCTTACATTTTCACCTGACATTACATTATCTGCCACAACCGAACCCACCATAGCTATATTCCTAGCCTCACCATCATTGACAACCTCGTTAACCATATGATCTTTAGAGCACACATTCTGGGGACTCGGATCCTCATGCTTCCCAATCCTGCTACCATCTGAATTTCCATCCTTGATTTTTCCTTCTTCTTCATCTTCTGACCCATCCCACGTGTCGCCCACATCCTCTTCAGAATCATTAAAGTCTATTTCACTATCCATCTCAGGACTCCTAGGGAATGCAATTCTCTTAGGCCCATGCATGTCCTCCACCAACTTGACTATGTAGATCTTTTTGTTCACCTCCACGTTGAAAGCTTCGCTCAAGATCAAAGTATGTTTTGTTTTAACCAAAAACCTTACCACGTCGAACTTCTTATGGCATTCAGTTTCCTGATAAGACTTAAAATATTGGCCCACCGTACCCGCAATGAGTTTGAAAAATTATGGACACCAAGCGTGACAAGGAAGACAATGTCAATGTAACCAAATGAGTCTCTCATTATCCACGTCCTTCGGTGACAAGGAAGACAATTTCTCTTTCCATATCTTTGCTATTTATGTTGAGCTGTAAGTGAGCAAAGCTGGGTTTTGGATCCACTTGCTCCCATTGACAATTACCCTGTAAGTATTCAACTTTTGTCTTGGTTCCACTCCATTATGACCACCACCCACGTTTCTACCTCCGACAACTTGGGCATAAGAAATTTTTTTGCTCCTAAGATTCCTGACATCGTTCTCATGTTGATAATTTATGCTCCTCCCCCTATTCTCCATGATCCTGCTCCTCATCTCATTACTCTGAGCATTCGTGAAGTCACACTGAAATCATGGTATATTAGCATATATCTTCTTCCCTTGGATGATGATGTTATTAAGTTTGACTGCCATAATCCTTTCGTTTTCCACCTTTCTGAAACGAACGAATCCATACCGTTTGCCACACTTATCTCTCCTTGGTGGAATGACCACTTCTACAACCAGACCAAATGATTTGAAGACCTCGAACATCTCCTTAACTTCATATGAACCCAGAATCTTCGTGAAGAAAAACGTGAATATTGCCTCTGCTTCCTCCCCTCCTTTGCCCCAATACACCGTCCAAATCGATCTTCTGGCCACCCTATGATGAGTTTTCCTCTAAATAACTTCAATCCACTCGTGCTTGTTCTCCCCTACTTCCATTTGAGAGACTTATCCTAATAAAAGTCACACTTATTATAGAACATTTGATAAGTTGTCAGTTATCTATAACAAAGAATAAAACAATAATAACACTCTAATTATAAATCATTTGATGGATTGTCAATTTTCTATAATCGGAGTAAATAATAATAATAATAATAATAATAATAATAATAATAATAATAATAAAAAAGTGATAACTATATAAGATATTCTTGTTTATTAACAAAACTATTTCTTTTTATTTGTCTTTTATATATATTTTTTATCATGTGTAAATAATTATGTATGACGGGGAGAGTAAAAAAATGTGTGAATGAATTTATTGCCATTTGTCATTATTGCCAACTGGCTTCTTATGAAATGGACAATGCCCGCCGCATGTGATGTGACTGGTTTCGTTTACATTAACCAACCACAAAACCTGTGAATAAAATGAAGGAAAAGTTTTTGCAAAAGAAAAAAAAGAAGAAAAGAAGAAAAAGTATGTGGATGGTTCACTACAATTTATTTATATAAATCAGAATATATACAAAAATGTCAAACTCACCAGGTTGGCTCTATACAGTCAACAACGACCAAATGTTCCATGTAAATAAAAACCAACTCATCAATTCATTAAGAAAGCAGTACTAACAATTGCTAACATGCTTTTAATGTATATATATCAATAAATTAAATTTAAAAATATTTTTTAAAAATTGTTTTTAAATTTAAAATTATTTATACGAAATTTTTATTTTATTATTTTTAATATGCATATTCTTAGAAAATGTTTTAAATAGAAAAAATAGTTTTTCATTTCAAAATAAAATTTAATGTAGCTATAAATATTTTAAAATTAAATATCATATATATTTTTCAAATTCTCCTATTCAAATTAAAATATCTCAACAATAAATTATTATTACAAATAAGATGAAAATATCTTATAATACTTTGTTTTTAGAAGCCCTTTCTCGAATTGGAGGAGTGACAAGGTGTTACATGCAAAATACTCTAACATTCAAATGAATGAATGAATAAAGTAAATGATAATATTTTTAGATTTTTGAAAATGTAAGTCTCTTCATTTGCAATCTTTTTTATTTTATTTTTTACAATCACAAGTATAATGAAGAGAAGTATTATGAATACTTCAACCCAATAAATAAAAATCAGTGCAAACAAACGGTTACTAAAACACAATTACAATGAATCTAAGAAATATTTAAACCAATCATAAAAGGTGCACCTAAAAAAGTGTTTATTTTTAACAATAACCAAAACCTCGAGAACAAAACAATTCTATCTAGAATGGCAACCAGATTAAAGAATTTGTCTCAAAAAATAATCTGGTTTTTAGATCTTCAAATACACCAACAAATAACACACCAAATTAAACTAACAATAGACCTATCGTATTTTTCCGAGAGTAAAATCATCCAATTCAATAGATGGAGATGACAATCAGCTCCAAAAAAGAAAGGAACTTTCAACCAAGCCAAAATTTTGCCTCAAACACTTGCAACTTTAGGACACGAAAAGAAGAGGTGATTATGATATTCATCACAACTAAAGCAGAACACGTTGACCTTATCGTAAACATTAACAACAATACCCCTGCAGCTCAAATTAAACCGCATAGGCAATCCGTCTAATAAAACCTTCAAGCAAAAATTTTAACCTTCAAAAGAAACTTGGAATGCCAAGTGACTTTCAAAGCAGAAGTGAGTGAGAACTCTCCAAGCCAAACTCGAACTGCTCATTCGCAATGGCATTATAACAGGAATTTACTGAAAACAATCCCAACTTACCAGCAGGCTAAGAAAAGCGATTAGGAATATTAAACTGGATGTGGATATCCTGCAAAATTGTCAATAATGCATGATGCTGCGACAAAACGACACTACCAACCTCATACGAATTGAAGGCAAGGTTTCAATGCCACACATAATTTTTCCAAAAACCAAATTCACCAATAACACCCTGCTTGTCTGCAGTGGCAACATGAATAACTAGAAAAAATCAACCTTGCACGTAATCAACTTTGAAAACCATTTCTCCTCCAACAAAGAAAGTTTATTAGTTGCAATCCTTTATATAAGAGTTTTTAAAGACTCTCAACTTTTAGGTCCATTCACAACCGTCCAAATTAACAAATGATTATATAATTTGTTTTGTTATTTGACGACAATTTTTTGTTTTTTTGTCTAAATCAAGTGTTTCTTTTATAAGTTTTATGACGGATATAAATCTCAGTAATTTTAGTTAAGCGTAAATACATTTTTTTCCTTCTTTCCTCGTTGTTTTGATGTTATTCTTGTCATTAAAATATATATTTTTCCTTCTCTCTTCGTTATCTTGATGTTATTCTTGTCATAAATATCTATCCTTTAAGGTTTAGTGGCTAAATTGATGAACTTCTTTTTTTATGGGATCAATCTTAAATGCTGGAATTGATTCGACGTTCAAAACGCATCAAGTTAATCATTTTTATTTATTAGTGGCAAATTCCAAGATTAGTTTTTAAGTGTTTTCGTCGTTAATTAAAAAAAGTATATTTTAAAAGTTGAAAGACTAATATAATATTATTTTTAAGTTAATGACTAAAATAAACTCCATGGTTTAATGAATAGAAAATAAATATTAAATCAATTATATATATAATTTTTAAAAAGACGCACGTTCAAATCTATCGTATTTCATTTTTTCAATCTGATGAAATCTCATCCATCATACTATAAAAAAAAAGTATTTTACTCTACTTTGCATTTATATTTGAATATGATAGTGGAAGATATACGGATAATTAATAGAATTAATTTAATAAATTTATAATATTTATAGAAAAATTATTGCAATCTTTAATTTATATACAAACTTTTTAAATAGCGTACATTTTGAAACAACTAGAGTAACCACGAAACTTCCATTCACCTATCCTCCTAATTATTTCCAACTATAATCACAAAAAACACCAACCAACAATCAAACAAAACAACATATACATAGAATGTCTTTTTAAAAAAACCGCGTACTTCAAACTTGGACATAATATTAAGATACCGTGTGTCGCGGCTCAATGTACTGTCACACAGCTTGAACATTATGTGTTCATTGCAAACTGGATCACACGCTACACGCAATCACCGCCTCTATTTTCCATTTTCATTTTCTTCTTTTTGTAATTTTATTACGCACCATTGCCATTTATTATAATATAATAATCAACTACCTCTTCCGTTTGTCTTTATATTACAATATTATTACTATATATAGTTACCTTACCTATAAGGTTTTCGTATATATATTCATAATAAATGTGTGTGTTGTTACTCCAACTATAATCTTCTCTTTACACTTTCCTTGTTGGATTTCTCTTCCTCTATTTATTTCATTTAACTTTTCTTTCTCAAACACACATCCAAGTCCAAACCATTTGTTTTGTTTCTTTGTCTCTTCTCTGTTCAACATGAACCTCGTACTTTCTTTGTTCGGTTTCTGCTCAATCTTTTTTCTTGTTGCTGCTGAAGATCCTTATAAATTCTTCGACTGGAATGTTACCTATGGTGATATTTATCCTCTCGGAGTTAAACAACAGGTTTGTTATTTTTTTTATCATTCTTCTTATTTTTGTTTCAATATATAACACTTGTATCTTATAATTTTGTATTATTTTGCAGGGTATTCTGATCAATGGTCAATTTCCAGGACCTGAAATTTACGCTGTAACCAATGATAATTTAATAATCAATGTACATAATAGCTTACCCGAGCCATTTCTTCTCTCATGGTATAACAACTTTGTCTCTTGTGATTTTGTTTCAAGATTTTTCAATCAAATTTATTAAGCATAGTATATTAGTATGTCATACCTATTCATATATACCTGAAAACATACACGATATTTTTAAATCAGGTTTGTTATATAGCTTGTTGCATGGATCTCTTACTTTATTTAAATCAACGTGTTAATTAAAGATTTAACAATGTAGTTTTACTTATTGATATTGATAATCCACTAATATGTAACATAACTGGCATATTCTTAGGCACCGTTTCGTCACTTTCAAAAAGTTTTATTCTGTTTGACTAAATCTATGTTGATTTTTAGAAAACTATAGTCTTAAAAATATAAATCTTTTTGATAAATTCTTAGATATTAATTCATTTAAGTTGAGTATCCGTACATTTAGTATATAATAAAATAAATAAAAAATGATGCGACATTTAAATTATGATATGTGATAAATTAAAGGTATTGATATGTAATTAAATTGAAGAATACCAGAGTGTTCATATATATATATATATATATATATATATATATATATATATATATATATATATATATATATATATATATATATATATATATATATATATATATATATATATATATATATATATATATATATATATATATATATATATATATATATATATATATATATATATATATATATATATATATATATATATATATATATATATATATATATATATATATAACTTTATTTTCAATTGTCACTTTTTTAGAAAAAAATTTAATCATTATTTTTTATAGTTTAAAGTATTAACAGAGGTCTTTCTAGTTTATTTTATAATCTCAATGTTAACTATTATAAGCTGTCTTCTTGCACCATTTCTATCTAAAAGATGAGAAATTAAAGTTGATATATTCACCCACAAAACAGAACTTTAAGAAGTATATATACACAGTACACAAAATATACAGTTTTTCTGTACTAAATTGATACTCGGTTAATTTATACTTTTACTGGCAATTTTTTGTTTTGAATATTTTAAAAAAAAATTTCAATATCCTTGTTGAATTTGTATATCACAAGCCTTTCTTCCAAAATATTATTATTATTATTATTATTATTATTATTGTTATTATTTCCAAAATAATACTATTATTATAATAAAATAGAAAACCATCTTTCAGTTACAAAAAACATGGGTTTATTAAATGCACCCCTCCCTCAACTATCATTTCGGCCCTTAATATCACATCACGGTTCAAACTCAACGAACTCTAAGCCCAATTAATATCCTCACGAGTCAGGCCCAATCTTTAATTTTGACTGGTCATTGTCAATTATTATTATTATTATCTGAACATAAACTTCATTAATATAAGATAAAAACATAAACTTACATTTATAAAACTCTAATCATTTCTGTATTGAAATAAAACAGGAATGGTGTTCAACAAAGAAGAAACTCTTTTCAAGATGGAGTTTATGGCACAACATGTCCCATTCCTCCTGGTAAAAACTTCACCTACAAACTTCAAGTCAAAGATCAAATTGGAAGCTTCTTCTATTTTCCATCTCTTGCTTTCCACAAAGCTGCTGGTGGTTTTGGATCCATCAAAATCCTTAGCAGACCATTGATTCCTGTTCCATTCCCTAATCCAGCTGATGACTTCACCCTCCTCATCGGTGATTGGTACAAAATCGATCACACGGTAACCAATAACTTAAAAATGATTCTTCAATTCATCATCGTAGCAAAATTTTCATATTTTCATTGACATATGAGTGTATATGAATTTCAGATCCTGAGGAGGTTTCTTGATTTGGGACACAGACTTCCACTCCCTCAAGCTGTTCTTATCAACGGTCGCGCAAATTGGACAACATTCACGGTTGAACAAGGTTTGTTATTTGTTTTTCTTAGTAACTGAATTATAAATGCTAGCAAAATTAACATTTGTATTCGACAGGAAAAACATATCGGCTTAGAATATCAAATGTTGGATTAGAAAACACGCTCAACTTTAGGATTCAAGACCATACTATGAAATTGGTTGAAGTCGAGGGAACTCACACTTTGCAAACATCTTATTCGTCTATAGATGTTCATGTTGGACAATCTTATTCCGTGCTTATCACGGCTGATCAAGCACCTAAGGATTTCCACATTGTTGCTTCCACTCGTTTCACCGAAAAGATCCTCACAAGTACTGCGGTACTTCACTATAGCAACTCGAAACAATCTGTTTCGGATGCCATTCCTGGTGGACCAACCGAGGTCGATTGGTCCATCCAACAAGCGCGATCAATCAGGTAATTTTTAAATACTTTGCCTCAATAACATGGTTAAAGAAGATAGTAACATTTGATATTTATTAAGTTTTTGCAATTTACAGGACGAATCTTACTGCGAGTGGACCAAGGCCTAATCCACAAGGTTCATACCACTACGGTACGATAAACATTAGTAGAACAATAGAGTTAGTGAGCTCAGCCGCACTTGTGAATGGTAAGCAAAGATATGCCGTCAACGGTGTTTCTTTCGTACCCGCTGACACTCCTTTGAAGTTAGCCGATTACTTCAAGATTGAAGGAGTTTTCAAAGTTGGAAGCATCCCGGATAGCCCTTCTGGTAAACCAACCCATCTTGATACCTCAGTGATGGGTGCTGATTTTCGAAACTTCGTTGAAATCGTGTTTCAGAACCGTGAAAGTATCGTCCAAAGTTGGCACATTGATGGATACTCATTTTGGGTCGTAGGGTAAGAAATCCAGCCACATTATTTATTTTCATCGATCTTTGATCACATCGATAAAATTAGTTTTATACACATCCAATCAATTATATATGATCACCATATACACATTTTACAAAATAGCGTAATGATCAGATATGATTGAATGCGTGCGTAATTTTTTTTTACGAAGTCGTTAAACATAATGTTTTCTAATACAGAATGGACGGTGGTACGTGGACGCCTAATAGTCGTAACCAATACAACCTCCAAGATGCTGTGTCTAGGAGCACAACACAGGTTAGTTTGTTTATTTCAATGTTATTTTAGTTTTTTTGTTCCTATGATTATGTTACTAATAATGTATGACCAAGTTATTGAAATATCATCATTTTTGTGCATCAGGTATATCCTAGGTCATGGACTGCAATTTATATGGCACTAGACAATGTGGGAATGTGGAACATTAGGAGTGAATTTTGGGCAAGACAATATCTAGGACAACAATTCTATATGAGGGTATATTCAGATGCTGGATCCATTAGAGATGAATATCTACTTCCAGAAAATGCTCTTCTTTGCGGCAAAGCATTGGGGAGAAAAACTACAACATTATGAGAAATATTAACCAACAACCTAGCTATATATTAGGGAATAACTTGTTCCATTCTTTGCAAATTCTTATGTAATTTCTTTGTATTATTTATTTGTACTACATGTTCATCATCACATTGTGATAATAAGTTAGTGTCCCCTTATTGTTTTATTTTTTGTCAATTAAATAATTTTTCGTAATCGATGTATCAGCATGTTGCTGCGTTAGTTTTACAAGAATGAACTGAAATGAAATGAAGCAAATTAGTTCAATCTGAATGTGTACAAAACATGAGCAAAGAAAGTTGAAGTTTCATATTTAGATTTGAAGAATTGTGATGTGTTTTATTTTGTTTAACAGACACCAAATTAGGATATGTAAGGGAAAATCAGCAAAAGCAAAGAAAGAAAGTCAGGTTTTGATGAATTTTACATGAAACAAATTACAATGCTTTTCCTTCCCTACTAGTACTGAAGTTATCATTGATCTATTTTTGTATGTCATTTATTTAAGTTAGTGGAGTTATTGTGATAGAGTATGACATAACTCAAAAGCCAATGCATTATTCTCCTTAATTTAATTTAAGTTGGTGGATTTGTTAGTGTTTTTTTAAATTAGAGGTGCCGATAGTTGATAAATTGAATTGGATTAAACAAAATTAATGACTTAGTTCAGTACAATCCAACAAGTTGGATCAGATTCAACCTCAGACTCAATAGAGTTTGCTCTAGATTTTAAGCCATCCAACAAGGCAAGACCAAACTAGTTCAAGTTAATGGAACAAGTCGAGCAGGCTGCCCCAAAATTAGTTCAAGTTAATGGAACAAGTCGAGCAGGCTGCCCCAAAACTAACATGAAAATAGTTGAAGTGTTAGTCACATCAAAAAGCATAACAAGAAACTTATAATTCTCGTAACGCATTTAAAAAATTGTTTTGGGCATATCAGATGATTTAATTCTTATCTGGTGATAGCGTGATCTAAGATCAATTTTTGAAAATACATCAACTCATTGAAGTTGATCTAACAAATCATTATTCATGGCAACATATATTCATTCTTGATGGTGACCTTGTTGAGTTAACAAATCATTATTGTGGCAACATAAGCCTTACCGATACAAGCTACATGGTTACCCCAAATATGCGACTCAATCCAGAAGGAGAGAGGCTACAATTAAAACCAAGAAGAAGTGGTTTCCAAAGAATAACACTGTTGCGCTCATAGCACACACTTCTCTAAGAGTTTCTGCTAGAGAAGACTGGTATTTTGAAAGTGGTTGTTCTAGACACATGACTGGTGTCAAGAACTTTTTGGTGGATATTAAACCACATTCCACTATTTATGTCACCTTTGGAGATAGATCAAAAGGTGAAATCAAAGGTGTTGGGAAACTGGACTATACTAGGCAGCCTAGTCTTGATAGGGTGTTGTTTGTCAAAGGGTTGACGACTAACTTGATAAGTATTAGTCAACTGTGTGACCAAGGCCTCAAGGTGAATTTTATTAAATCTGAGTGTCTGGTAACATATGATAAAGATGAAGTTATCATGAAGGGATCCAGATCTAAGGATAATTGTTACTTGTGGACTCTTATAAAAACAAAGTGTTCCTCCATCTGCTTGGTGTCAAAAGAAGACGAGGTGAAGATGTGGCATCAGAAACTTGGCCACTTACACTTTAAGGGAATGAAGGAGGTCTTGTTAAAGAAAGTTGTCAAAGGTATTCCTAATCTGAAAATTGATGGAGGAAGAGTCTGTGGTGAATGTCAAATTGGAAAGCAGACAAGGACGTCACATAAGAAGCTTCAACATCTGACCACTTCAAAAACTCTGGAGCTACTTCATATGGGCTTGATGGGACCTATGTAGGTTGAAAGTCTTGGAGGAAAGAGATATGCTTACATTGTGGTTGATGACTTCTCAAGATTCACCTGGGTGAATTTCATAAAAGAGAAGTATGAGGTGTTTGAAGTATTCAAAGAACTTTGTCAGGAACTTAAAAGAGAGAAGAATTGTGGCATAGTTAGAAATAGAAGTGACCATGGGAAGGAACTTGAAAACAACAAGTTTGATAATTTCTGTTCTTCTAAAGAAATTAGTCACGAGTTCTTTTCACCCATCACTCATCAACAGAATGGTATGGTTGAGGGAAAAAATAGGACAATTCAAGAATGTACGGGGGTCATGCTTCATGCCAAAAATCTTCCTATCATTTTTGGGTTGAAGCCATGAATACTGCTTGCTATATTCTGAATAGAGTAACCATCAGATTTGACACATCTGCTACTCTATATGAGCTATAGAAAGGAAGAAAGCCAATTGTCAAGTACTTTCATGTCTTTGGAAGTAAATTTTACATTTTTGTTGACCGGGAGCAAAGAAGAAAGATGGATCCTAAAAATGATGAAGGAATGTTTCTGGGATACTCTACAAATAACAGAGCCTATATAGTATTCTACTCCATAACTAATGTAATGCTAGAATCTATAAATATCGTGGTTGATGATTCACCTACATAAGTTACTGTCACAGATAATATTGGAGCATTCTTTCCCATGAGTGATGTTTCTGAAGATGTCACAGAAGATGTTGGAACATTGCATGATGTTTTTGAAGATACTACAGACTCAAGTGTTAATCCTAAACCTGTAGAGACTGAGACAGTAGACAAGGGACCCTCCATTAGAATTAAAAAAAGATCATCCTAAGGAGCTTATCATAGGAGATCCTAATGGTGGAAGAGTGACCAAATCAAGAGAAGTTATTGTTGGTGCTTACTTTGTCTCAAAATTGGAACCCAAGAATGTCAAGAAGGCCTTGTATGGGTTGAAACAAGCTCCAAGAGCTTGGTATGAGAGGCTAACTAAGCTCCTCATCATTCATGGATACAGAAAATTTGGCATTGACAAAACCCTCTTTATCAAAGAGAAGGATGGAAAACTCATGATAGCTAAAATCTATGTAGACGATATTGTGTTTGGAGGAATATCAGATGAGATGGTTCAACATTTTATCATGAAAATGCAATCTGAGTTTGAGATAAGTTTGGTGGGTGAATTAACCTACATTCTTGGTATCCAAGTCAAACAGATGGAAGACTCTATATTTCTTTGTTAAGGGAAATATGCAAAGAGCATTGTGAAGAAGTTTGACTTGGAGAATGCTAACCACAAAAAGACTCTTGCTCCTACACACTTGAAGTTTCCTAAGGATGAAAAGAGTGTTAATGTTGATCAGAGTCTGTATAGAAGCATGATTGGCAGTCTTCTATATCTTACTGCAAACACAAGTGACTATGGTATATATGAACCTAAAGTTAGTCATATCAATCAAGTCAAAAGGATTCTAAAGTATGTGAATGGTACACGTGACTATAGTTTGCTATACTATCAAAATTCTAATTCCATATTGATGGGATATTGTGATCTTGATTGGGCTGGTAGTGTTGATGATAGGAAGAGCACCTCCGAAGGATGTTTCTTTTTGGGAAACAACTTAATTTCACGGTTCAGTAAGAAGCAAAATTGCGTATCTCTATCTATTTTGAAGGCTGAGTACATAGCAGCAGATAGCAGTTGTTCTCAAATGATGTGGATGAAGCAAGTGTTGACTGAGTATAATGTCACATAAGATGTCATAACATTATTCCGTGACAACTTGAGTGTCACCAATATTTCAAAGAATCCTATTCAACACATTAGAACCAAACCTATTTACATCAGACATCATTTCATCAGTAATCTTGTGGAAGACAGAGTTATAACATTTGAGCATGTTGCCACAGAGAATCAATTAGCTGACATCTTTACTAAAGCCTCGGATGCTAATCAATTTGAGGTGTTGAGGGGCAAACTTGCGAGATGTCTGTCTGAAGATTTATAGCATCTAATTTGGTGTGGGAATACTATTCGAGTGAGTGTATATGTGTTCCCATAAAATAAAGAGAATTCTTCAAAGTCAATTCTCATTTGTAGCATAATTCTTCAACAATATTTCGATGCTTTTTTGAATGATGATGACCTTGATGGTGAAGAAGAAGAGGACGAGGATGATGAGGCTACTGAAGATGATATCTAATTGTAGTTTAATTCATTTGTTTTTTTTGTTATGTTTTGTAACGGCGGAATGACCAAGATGTTTTTAGCACTTCATGTGTTGGATTTATACTTTAAACTCTTGTTTTGCTGGTGTTATTGTTTGGTTGTTTAGTTAGTTATCTACCTTTGTCATATTATAGCTAAAAATGGGGAGTAATACTAACTTAACTAACTGTTAACCTCTGGCTTCTGATTGAGGGGGGGGGGGGGAGCTAACCTTTTGCTGCAGAAGAAGGAACTGTTTAAGGGGGAGGCTGTAGGCTGTAGAATAAGGAACTAATTAAGGGGGAGGCTGTAGGCTGATGTTTTTTTTTCCCGCTGCTGTTATGATATTTGCCTCTGACTTTTTGTATATTGTATGCAAGGGTTATTTAGTTAGTTTTAGCCAAAATCTGCCATAGGGAAAGATTGTTAAGTCAAAGATTTTAAAATTGTCATTAATTTTGGTAAAACTAACTTGACAGCAAGTTGTTGGACAAAATTTCATAACATGAAGAACAAACTGAAGAACAAGAAGTTGGAAAAGATGTGCTATCATGATGATTCGACATTTTTTTCTGTTACTTTCCAGTTTTGAATACTACTGTTTTATTTCTAGATTTTAGAATATTATGAGAATATTGGTTTATCCTAGGTGGCGTTCAAGATTGAGGAATCAGAGATTTTGTTGGAAATCTGAAGATGCTGTTTTCTAAGTGTGGAGACATTTTAGGAAACTTTGGATTGAAGAAACTATTCTTTTGGAGAATAAGTTGCAGATTCTGTATAACACAATTGCTGCGTTTTTGAAGCCCAAATCCAATCTAGTGTATGGTTATAAATATGATGAATTTAACCTAATCAAGGTGTGGAAAATATGTTGTTGCTTAGTGACTTTTAAGGTTTGTGTATTTGTGAGCCTCTCTTGTATCGTGTTGATACTAGT